AAACCTTGGTCTATAAAAACTCACACGTCAAAATGTGTGCATACGTGTAGTTTGGTTAGGATGTGTTCTTTTACGCTGGCAGTGTGCTTTGCGTTTTTTCTTGTTCTGCCCCACAGCTCATTAAGCTGATGGTTGTAGTCACTGTTCATCTGCCAATTTTCAGCCTGGCTCCTTCAAAAATCAACTTTTGTCAAATGGAAGGGAGTTGTCAGGGCCACATACTGCTAAATGTTTTACATTTGAGCAGTGTTTGGCTAGGGTTAGGGTATAAATATACACACTATTGCATGTGTTACAATTGCCCTGTTATATATTGTAAGTGCAAAATAAATAGGAATAGGCTTCTAATGTTAGAGGCCTTATGGTAAAATGTGTTATGTAATAACTGGCAATTCAGTCTTGCTATTCCTCTGGAGGGGGGCTAATTCTGATATTTGTTGCTGCTGCAAATACTGTAGGATACCTGTTTTTTGTCTTGTAAGACCCTATTCATACTATTGCGTACCATGAACGTGCATCACGGTGATGTGCGTTTGTGGGCATTTATTCCTCGTTTGCCACACGTGCACATTGATCTCAATGGGTTCCTGCACATGTGTCAACCGCAGGAAAGTAGTGCATGTAGCACATTCTGCTATATGTATCCCTGACTGTGTTTGGTGTGCCATTAACTAGTAATGACACTGCAAGTGCATTTGGAGTTTTTGACGCGTTTGTTAAAGCATGCACTTTTTCTGCATTTGGCGTGCATTCACGGAACGTGATGGTGTGAACGAGGATTCATAGGCGATGTGTCAGGGATGTCTGCTCTGTGATGGCTATACCTGATATATGTGATTAGTTCTGTTGCTACTATTTTAATTAGTCAGTAGTAGGGTATTTAGGAGTTAAGTGTACCTGTCATTTGTCTTATTTTAGTACACAATGACAACTATTTCTGTTAAGCTGATATGACATTCAGTTGTGCTCTATCATCTATGGTGGATATGTGACAAATGTATTGTCACTCCAGTGCATTTGTACTTTCAGATTTTTGGCTTGCCTCTAAGCCTCCTCCTTAAGCTACAGTCCAAACTTACCAAATTAACATATTTGCTGATGATTTCTGTTCCAGTTTGTTTTCTTGTGGTTAATTTGACTATGAATATATATGAATATGAATTATGAATATTTACCAAGCCAGTCAGTACTTATGTATTTGTTTTAAGGGCTGGACTGGAAAACTGTTAAATGTTTGGGGTCTTACTACCTGCATATCTCCCAAAAGAGTGAAATAACAGCAAGATGGCAGATTTTAGGAATGCCCCCTAAAAAGTGTGGCAGGCTAACATTTTAATCTCAGGGTCTGGTCCATGGCATATGCTGGGGTAACAAATAAGTTGGGCACAAGTCATTTCAGTCTTCTTTACCTTTTATTGCTGAACACAGTTCTAGGAGAGAGTGTTTAGAGGTGCAGGAGGATACCCAAAAAGCACAAAAATATGACAGGTACTCTATTCTGAAGTAGCAGTAGAAGGAGTGTGACCCCATCCTTCTCCTTCCACTCCTTTTCCACATCCATCTCCTACTGCACCTCCTCCTCCCGCTACTCCTCCTATTCTTCCTTCTTCACCTCATTCTTCTCCTGCACATCCATCATCCTCTACTTCTCCTCCCCTTCCTTCTTCACCTCCTCCTGCTCCTACTCTTTTCCATCATCCTCCTCCTACTGCACCTCCTCCTCCCTTTACTCCTCCTATTCTTCCTTCTTCACCTCATTCTTCTCCTTCACATCCATCATCCTCTACTTCTCCTCCCCTTCCTTCTTCACCTCCTCCTGCTCCTACTCTTTTCCATCATCCTCCTCCTACTGCACCTCCTCCTCCCTTAACTCCTCCTATTCTTCCTCCTTCACCTCATTCTTCTCCTTCGCATCCATCATCCTCTACTTCTCCTCCCCTTCCTTCTTCACCTCCTCCTGCTCCTACTCTTTTCCATCATCCTCCTCCTACTGCACCTCCTCCTCCCTTTACTCCTCCTATTCTTCCTTCTTCACCTCATTCTTCTCCTCCACCTCCACCTTCCTCCACCTACATTATCCAAGAAATGGATTCACCAACATAATCCAGGGTCAATCACGACGTCCAGCGTTGTCCACGACGGCGACGACTGGACAAAATAAAAAATGAAAACAATAAAAAATAAATAGAAATAATAATAATTTTTTAAACAATGACGGCCACCGTCCCGTCTGCTCACGACGAACTCCCACTGCATAATGTAATTTTGACAGATGCCAGCAACATATAAAGAATCGGGCGGAGCTAGCAGTGACAGCTAGCTCCACCCAACTGTTTGTTGTACGGCATGTGACAGGTGAGCACATGCAGAGTATTGGGCCCTGATTGGGCAAAGTCTTCCACCTGACCTGTGGTCAGGAGCAAAGCTTTAGCCAATCAGGGCTTCACAAGGCTCAGTAAGGCGAAGAGCCCGCCGAACATCGTGCCCATCACTAATGCTGATAAGGCATCTCTCCAATGCCAAGACATAGAGCTATGGAGATATAAATCTCTATCATGCAGTCTCATTCAACCTACTGTAATTGCTTTAAAGAAGAACTCTGGGCAGAAATGTTAATAACCCCTGTAGTGACGCTACACCCGCATTTCAAGGGTTAACTGCTTGTTTTTTGCCTAGGGTAAAAATAAAATAAAAGTTATACTCACCAAAACCTCCGAGCCAGCTCTTAGACTGCCCCCTAGAGCCTCTCTCCCCCTCCTATGCAGCAGTCTAAGAATCCTTGAGTCATCAGGTCCAATACAGTGTGTGGGACATGAGGACACCGATGGACATTCCATCACTGCAGCGGAGGAGGAGACAGGCCGGAAGGAGCGCTGACAGCTCCAAGAATCTGGTGAGTATAACTTTTTTTTTTTTACCCTAGGTAACAAGCAGTTAACCCTTGCAGTGCAGGCATTTTGTTTGTCTGCACTACAATTCTACAGGGCCTCTGCTTTCAGTAAATTCACAATGAATTTTAGGCCCAAAATGTGTATTTTAACATGTTTGCAAAAAACAGCTCTGGTAGTGAAAAGGTTAAAAAGCAGTTGTAGGGAACCCTGTACCCTGTCAGCATACTGCAGAATGGGACCTTTGCTCTTGAGGAGGAAAGCAGTGGTCTCTCTGCAGAGCTCCCAAAAAGAGTCAGAGCCGGAGCTCTCCGATCAGCAGGGATCATGAGTTTTGCTGCTTGCAGAGCTATAGGTGTGACTCAGTAAGGGACATGCAATGAGACCTCTTCTTCCCCACAGAGAACAAAGGGACCCCTCTGCAGCTACTGGCAGGGGTCAGGCATTTCTACTCAGGCTGTGGCTGCATTAGAAAAAAAAAAAACGCTAAGGGCCCATTCACACCAGATGTGTTGAAAAACCTTGCCCAACGCAGTCTCAGCGCATGGACAAGGCACTTTGCACTGAGTCTTATGGCGTCAGTTCTGCGGTGGTGTGCACTGAAAAAGTAAGGGTCACCATACACGCTACAATCTGACCAGACCATTTCCATTTGGAAGGAAAAGAAATGTACATGTCTAGTGTGTATTGCTGATGTGAATGGGCCCTAAAGCTGGTCATACACTGTACAGTCTTATTGTACAATCTCCTTTAGATCTACCAAACCTATGTAATATGAGGAGCAACCAAAACAATGCATGTAGTTTGTATCCAATCAGCTTCTTGCATAGATAATAGTAGATCTGAAGGAGATTGTACAATCAGGTTGTATTGTGTAGGCAGGCCCGGATTTCCCACAAGGCCACCGAGGGGCGGCAGCTAAACATTTAACACTTTTTGTTTGGATGCACCTGGAATGTCTTTAGCAGACTTTACCTGAAAGTTTAATTTGGCTTCAACCTAATGAATGAGCAGTTTATAATCTCATACTGCTGTTACAGTGACTGCTTGTTCTGTTGACACTAAGGCCCCATTCACATGTAGCGACTTATCGCGCGATTTCCGCTGCGATATCGCGCATTTTTGCCGCGCGATATCGCGAGAAGTCGCCGGCTAATGATAGTCAATGGAGCTGTCTTAGCTCCATGTCGCGCTTCGCGGTCGCAAGTCGCTTCTACAGGACCCTTTTTTCTGCGGATTTTGCTTGTTTTCTATGGAGCCTGACGGAGAAGGTCGCGCTACCGTCGCTGGATCGTCACCCCGAAAGTCGCGCTATCCCGGCCGCTGCAAAGGTATGTCGCTACATGTGAATGGGGCCTGATAGGTCACACACTAGTTACACTGATAGGTCACACACTAGTCACACTCATAGGTCACACACTAGCCACCCAGCAAGAGAATATCCTCAACAAGGAGAAACAAGTTGTGATACTAAGTCACACTCCTCCAATCAGGACATTCATTGAAGAATATAATAAAACGGGTGATTGACAGTTGTCACCCCCTCCCCCTTTTCCATGCACATATTGGTATAAGATCGTCTGCATGGCGTATGCCTAGATCCGACATGTATTACTAACGATATGTGCGCGCTTCTACACATGACACATCTCGTGCGGCTAGATGTCATATTAATCACTGTATGAAACAAGCGTAACACACACACTAGCCACGCCCCGGCCTGTCAACCACGACCATTCAGTCACGCCCCCTAAGCCCGTTGTCTGGGAGACATGGGATTCTCCGCCTGTAAATTCTTCTTGCCTATCCCGTCCCTCCGCATTCCACACCTGCTGTATTCTCCGTCCCTTACAAGGCCCGCCTATTCAACGCCTCTATTGATCATCTTCTCTGTCAATGAAGGGTCCGTCCTTATTCCAAGGTTGTGATTGGTTGTGCTCTTTCCGGAGCGCAAGGGGAGACGCTGCTTTGCAGGAAGAGTGGGCAGGTGTTGACGCAGAGGGGCGTGTATGATTGGCGTGCTCTGGGAGTGGCCAGAGGCTGGGTAGGCGTGGTTTGTCGTTTTCTTCTTGCTGGTGATATTGAGTAGATACACGAAAGGAAAACAGCGGCAGAGGAGCGGAGAGGGAGGTGCGGAGAGTGGCACGGGCAGAGGTGAGTGGCAGCATTGGCAGCAGCGGTAGAAACCCGGGGTTCCCTATCCCCCCTCCTACCCGGAGGGGGATCACCCCTGTAGATACCCCTCTTCTGTCCCCATCGTTCATATAGAACCACATCTACCTTCTCATTACATCCTGGACGCCCCCTCACAAGCAGCATCTGCAACAGGACACCTGACATTGCGCCCCCCAAGTGTCCTGCTTCCCTGGGCACATTGTCACTAATGAGCATCCTGCCAGGCTGATCAGTGTCATTATCAGGTTATTTATGGATCCCCCTATCGGCTGCATCAGAGCCCACCCTGGCATAGCATGCATTGGCCTCATCATGCATGATCTCATACACAATCCATTTCTTCCGCTGGGAATATTTCTATCAGCATTTTACTTTTATTCCCGGCAGATCTCCCATTTTGCCAGCCTAGCTGTTGCTGGATGGAGGTGGTATTCCTCCGGCATGGAGTAGATGCAGCATCTTCCTTCTTTGCTGGGTAGGATGAGTAATGCTGGGATGGCATGATGTGTGTGCAGCCAGCACCTATTGTTATCCATACATTGGCTCTTATGGCCAAACTATTTTTAACATGCTTTATCTGTGCTGCCTCCCGACAGCTCTTCCTATCCAGTACCTTCCAGTTGCCTCACCAGGGTGAAATAAACATACGTTTTTTAAAGATTTTCAAGCCTTTTTATGATTGCACACCTTTCCTTTTATTTCCCCTCGGTTATTTTTTAATTGATGCCTACTGCAGACTTTACATGGTTGTACGTAGATTTTTAACAGACATAAAAATGACAAGCTGTTGATTGCATTTTAGAACATCCACAGCAGAGGCGGGCAACTTCCGTCTAACCAGGAGATCCCTGCAGGGGTATTTAATCAGATAGAGGTGAAGAGAGCCGTAACCCATAGCAACCATTCAGAATGTGGATGATTTGGGGGGATCTGCAGCGGTTAGCTGGGAGCTCTCTGGTTGCTATTGCACTTTGCTGCCTGCTGTTGCACTTTTCATTGATTTCTTAAAGCTGAACTCCAGTCACAAAAGCATGAATTTAAATATAGTTAATGGCCAAATAGGATATAAATGCACTTTGTGTGCACCAAATTCCTTTGAATACGCAGGTATTACCTTAAAGTATTACCTAAACATAGCAGTGACATCATCACTGTGCTGTACATAGAGAGCTGAACTGTGGGAGGGGCCCAGCAGGCCCCACCTATTACAGCCTGCCTGCAGAAACCTACAGGAGGGGCAAAACAAGACCAGTCACCCTGCACAAGAAGAGGAAGCAGCAGCGACTGGTCTTTATTAAAATTTCATGCACAGATCTGGAGAAATACACAAAGCACACCAAGATTCAAGTAAGAATACACATGCCTCTTGTATATTGACAACATGTGCTTATCCTGGAGTTCAGCTTTGAGTATTTTGGTAGCACAGCAGCAGAAGCGTCCTGTCCTCCTGATTTTTGAGAATGAGCACCGATCGGTGATGGCGATGGCAACCATTCAGATCTGAGCTATTTATTAAAGGTGAAACCTGACTGGTTGCAATAGGCAAGCGCTCAATTTTTCATCAGCTGCAGTTTTCATTATTTCTCCTAGTTTCGAGTTAATGTTTTGTTCTGATGATGAGTATAGCATCTGCATGTTCTTTTATTTTATTTCTCTGCATTCGGTGGTCGTTATGTGGGCAGGCATTGTATAATTGTGACACCAGCAATGCTATATAGAAAGCTACACCTGTGTCTTTTCCATTGTTACAGTATAATTAATGCAAGTGAAAACTGTGCAACATCAATCAATACAACAAGTGTTCTTTCTGCTGTGACACACAATTGGCTAACAAGGCCGTCAAAATGGCTTTGCTGATTTCACTTTTATAGCAGAAGGTGGAGTGCAGAACCATTGATATATTGTTTATGATTAGACCATTGATGATGGGTAAATAGATTTCGACAACAGTAGCTTTTCTGATCATTTTCGGTAAAGTGAACAAACATATCGCCATTTCTCATATAACAGTGCTAGAAAGGACATCTACTACAGTGTTTAGCAGACTGTATTTATACTATCTTCTCACACAGTGTTATAAATAGCAGACTTTTCAGTTTGTATGATCATTCATTCCATCATGGCATCATTTCATTTTGATATTCAATCTGAACTATTCGCCTTAGCCTTGGACTGCATATCTGCAAATATTGTCCCTTTGGAGGTTAGAGAAGAATCATTTTCTATCTGGTGCTGAAACTGCATGTCCCTGGTAATCATTTTTTTTAATTCATTCATTGGAATAGCCGGCATTTTATTGTCAGATGAAAATCTAAAATTAAAATCTCATAAAAAAAAAAAGATCTGCATGTGCTGGGCTGGCCAAAAATGGGGAGCTGAGTAGCCATTATGCCTTAATATGTGAAGCAGGCAAGCTAGATAGCCATAAAACAATGAATGCCCTTTGGCAAGATTTGTAATCTCCAGAAGGTTGCAGCTTCCTTCTCTGGCTTCCCCATGACCAGTGCTGCTGCAATGGGTGAACAGGGTTAGACAGATCCCAGGAGTCAGGTAGCCAGTGTTCCTTAAAAATTGCAGATGGCACCTAATGTTTGAGGTTTTCTCTAGTTGTCAATGGAGATGGTTCATAAAAAAATTCTGCTGGCTCATATAAAACTGGACAGACTCGCTCCAGAATTCCATATTCATTTGTCAACCCCTGGGTGTGAAGTCCCATGGGCTTGGTCAAGCATCTAGTTCCTGTTCCTAGATGTTGGACAAGTCCTAAGTATGCATGTACCTCTTCAATGTTGAGAGTAAGAGGTTGTGCCCAGTGGTACAGCTAAAAACTTGGAATCCATAGTGCAGTGACGCTGCCCCATGTGTCCATTCCTGTGCTTGACAGATCAGATGTATGGGGCATCAACATTATGCCAGTTATAAGGAACTTCCTTCTAGCTGTGGAGCATCTCTTGTCAGCACCACCACTTGGTAGGCTTTGTGAAACTGTAAGTTTGCTAGTATAGGAGCTTTACAACTGTGGTGATGCAGTAAAGAATAGTGGACCCAACCTGGGCACCTTAGGACAGAGGAGGACAAATTTAAATGGAACTCATGAGCCAGTCTGTTCAATCTAGGAGCCAGCAGCATTATTTTAGGATCCAGCTCCATTGACAACAACTAGAGAAAACCTCAAAATTAGGCACCAGGTGTAAATTTTAAGGAGTATTGGCTACCTGGATCCTGGGATTTGTCCAGCTCTGCCTTAAAGAAAAAACTTACCATTGCAATGGGGCTACCCTCACATTAGAAGGGTTAAGTGCTTGTTTTGTCTTGGGAGCTCAAATTAAGCTGAATTACTCACTTGATCCTCGGTGTGGTCAGCACTCGCCTCTCTCCCCTTCTGCTCCAACTATGTACTGCCCCTCGGTGCCCTCATCTCTATTGCAAGTGGCGTGATTATATGATGGTGACAGCGGTCCTTATAGAGCCCACGGGAGAAGAGGCTGCAAGGATCGGTCTAGTAGCCTCGAGGGAGCTGGGGTACGGTGAGTAATACAGCTTTATTTGAGCCCCCTAAACAAAGCCAGCACTTGCTGCTTACAACTATTTGTAAATGCATGGTAACTATTGCATTGACAGCAACCTCCCTTTAGACTTTAGATCCACATTACTGCTTACATTTTTTCAGCCTTTTCTATAGGTGTATCTCAAAGAACATGCCCCATAGTAGTACCTGTTGGCACCTGGGTCTGTTAGGCTTCTGATTTGATGTGTGCCCTTCTTTGCTCATGTTTAAGTTGTAATTGTACTGGTGTTTTACCTATGTTTGATATGCTTGCTCTTCTGCAATGTTTGCTAGGAAAAAAAAGTTTGTTTAAACTTTGGCACCCGTCCATTATCTTACCCATGGCGCCGCATCTGCATTCCTTTATTGATACTTCTATATGACCTAGTGTATTTTACAGCATTATTTGTTTTTACCTGGAATGCAGTTCATTTGAAGCATTTTGATACTTCCTCCCCACATGTGTTGACAGGACTCTCTACTAAAAAGAGTATATGTTAAACTTGTTGAAAGTTTAGCCAACTTAGATATATTTTCATTTGTATTTACATTTCTTGTATAAATCCATTTGACAGCTAGTGACAATTTTTCTTTTGTTTTACTGTTAATTATACAACTCTGACCAAATTATAGCTACAGGTAACGTTAGGGCTGAGGGTTTACGAGACAATGAAAGGCACATTAATTATATGCTGTTGCGTACAGTAACTCATGTATTCCCAGCTGTCAGTTTCCCAGTCCCGTGCAGTTAGCAGTAGGGAGGGGTACTTGTTAGATACGGACATGTCAAAGAGAAATATGAGCTAATCTTAAGTAGCAATTATTGGCTTTTAATTGCCATTTTTGCTAAAGGTAAGTGAGAAAAATTCTCCTTCGAGCACCATAGCAACTGCACTCAGTATGGAACAGTCATGAAGGGTTGGCACATGTCTTTTCTAAACAAAGAAGTTTTGGCAGACTTAACTTTAATATGGCATCATCAGAAGAGCAGTTTGCTGGAAGCATACGGTATGCATTCCTAAGTATGTAATGTAGGGTTTTATGGGTAGCTACATTTAGCAAAATTTCTAATGCATGTATGTATGAACCTTTTATGTCTACATGTTTCCAGATCATTTTTCTTGATGGAGACAGCCCTTAGACCAGGGCTGGACAAATCCCAGGAGCCAGGTAGTCAATGCTCCTTAAAAATTACAGCTGGTGCCTAAACTTTGGGGATCTCTCTAGTTGTTGTCAATGGAGCTCGCTCCTAAAACAATTCTGCTGGCTCCTAGTTTGGACAGACTGGCTCCTGAATTCCATATTCATTTTTCCACCCTGTCTTAGACTATCTTCACATTACATTTATAATCTCTGCATAGCCCATTCTTTTATTTCTCTCTTAATAGGGAGCTCTACCCAAACATGTTGGGTAGAGGAAGACAAGGTTTGA